AGAAGCCTCTACGAAGCCTCTTAGAGGCTTCTGAAAGGCCTCTAAGAAGCCTCTTAGAAGCTTCTGCGAGGCTTCTGAAAGGCCTCTCAGAGGCCAGCAAAGGCTTCCTTTTCGAGGCCTCTTAGAGGCTTCTTAGTAGAGGGTGCGCCGCTGGATCTCCCCAAGGGGGGGGGGGTAGGACCCTCGCCCCCCCCTTCCCCGATCCATCGTCGGGGACCCCCCCCCCCCCCTCCCCCCTTTCCCGATCCGTCGTCGGGGACCCCCCCCCCCCCTTTCCCCGATCCGTCGTCGGCCCCCCCCCCCCTCACCCCCTTTCAACAGGGGGGGGAGCTCCGAACCCCCCCCCTCCCCCTCCCCCCTTTCGCCCCCTGACTCCGGAACCCGACCCCCGCTTCCCCTACCCCTAGTCCTCACCCTAACCCAAACCCCTAATCCCAACTCCAACCACTTAGCCCCAGCCCCAAAGAGCACTCACTACTCATTACTCACTACCCACTACTGACTACTCGCTGTTCGCTACTCACTTCTCACTACCCCCTACTCACTACTCACGACTCACTACTCACTATCCACTACTCACTACCCACCACCCACTACTCGCTACTCCCTACTCCCTACTCACTACCCCCTTCTCCCTACTCACTACTCACCCTTCACTCCTCGCTACCCACTACTCAATACTCACTACTCACTAAGCAGTACCCACTACTCCCTACTCACTACTCACTAATGACTACTCATTACCCACGACCCACTATCCACTACTCACTACTCACTACTCATTGCCCAGAAATTGCTACTCACTACCCACTACTCGCTACTCGCTACTCCCTACTCCCTACACAATACTGACTACACAGTACTCAGTACTCACTTGTCGCTACTCCCATACTCGCTACTCAATACTCACTACTCACTCCCCGCTACTGACTACTCACTATTCACTACCCCCTATATCACTAGTCACTACATAGTCTCTAGTCTTTAGTCACAACTCATCAGTCACTAGTCACTAGTCACTACTCACTACCCACTACCCACTAGTCACTAATCACTACCCAAGAGCCACTATTCGCTACCCGTTTCTTACTACTCACTGATACTACTCCCTACTCCCTAGTCCCTACTCACTACTCGCTACTCCCAACTCGTTACACACTAATCACTACCCACTACTCACTACTGACTACACTCTACTCACTACTCACTACTCACTACCTTCTACTCCTCTCTCACTACTCGCTACTCCCTACTCGCTACTCACTACTCACTACCCACTGCCACTACCCACTACTCTCTATTCATCACTACTCACTTCGCACAACGTACTACTCAGTACTCACTACTCACTGCTCACCACTCATTACTCACTACTCGCTACTCACTACTCACTACTCACTACTTACTACTCACTACTCACTACTCACTACTCACTACTCACTACGCACTACGCACTACCCACTACTCACTACTCACTAATCACTACTCGCCACCCACTACTCACTACCCACTACTCACTACCAACTACTCACTACTCCCTACTCAGTACGCACTACGCACTACCCACTACTCACTACTCGCTAATCACTACTCACTACCCACTACTCACTACCCACTATTCACTACCCACTACTCACTACTCCCTACTCCCTACTCAGTACTCACTACTCGCTACTCGCTACTCACTACTCACTACTCGCCACTCACTACTCTCTTATCAGTACACACTACTCACTATTCACTACTCACTACTCACCACTGCCTACTCCCTACTCCCTACTCGCCACTCACTACCCACTACTCACTACCCATTACTCACTACTGACTACGCACTAACTCACTACTCACTACTCGCCGCTCCCTACTCCCAACTCCGTACTCCCTACACACCTTATATGGCGCAGAAAGGAGAAGCGAGAGAGGCCCCCCCTCCCCGGCTCCCTTTCCGGCGCAAAGGGGGGGAGGGGGGGGGGTCCGAACCCCCCCCTCCTTTTCAGCGCCAAAAGGGGCAGGGGGGGGAGGGTTCCGGACCCCCCCCCCCATCAAGGGAGGGGGAGGGAGGGGAGAGTCGGGACCCCCCCTCCCCCCTGAAGGGGGGAAGGGGGGGGGGGGTCCGGACCCCCCCCTCTTGAAGGTGGGAGGGGGGGGGTTCTGGACCCCCCCCCCCCCTTTAGTGTATTCAGGGAGATCCACTGGCGCACCTTCCTTCTTAAAGGCGTCTTAGGAGCTTCTAGGAGGCCTGTAATGAAGTTTCTAAGACGCATCTACGAAGCCTCTACGAGGCCTCTAAGATGCCTCCAAGATGCCGCTATTTCTACCACACAAACGCCACATAATAGCATCAGTGTAACTATTGTTGTTGTTACTACTAATACTACTACCCTGTAGCGCCCCTCGCGGGGGTGGAAAACAACTTAATCACAGTCGCTCTCTCGGAACGTCGTCGTGACGTTGTTGCTAGCCTACCGCGTTCTCCTCCTCCTCCTCCTCCTCCTCCTCCTCCTCCTCCTCCTCCTCCTCTTCCTCCGCCTTTTCCTTTCCTCCTCCTCCTCCTCCTCCTCCTCCTCCTCTCCTCCTCCTCCTCCTCCTCCCTCCTCCTCCTCCTCCTCCTCCTCCTCCCTCCCTCCCCCCTCCTCCTCCCCCCCTCCCTCCCTCCCCCCTCCTCCTCCTCCTCCTCCTCCTCCTCCTCCTCCTCCTCCTCCTCCTCCTCCTCCTCCTCCTCCTCCTCCCCCTCCTCCTCTATTCCTTTCCTTATAAGTAAGTTCTCCTTGTCGCATCCCGAGTCCATTTTTTAGGGCGGGCCGGGCGTGTCCGGACGTTTCGCCTGAGATTTATTGACCATGGATGATTCTGAAACATTAGAATTTGCAACCGTTACACAGATGGAGAGCGGGTCGTCTTCAAAATGTGGCTCTCGCCTTAGCGCGGTGCACATTCGTTTTTAACATTGCAAGAGTTTCACTGATTGAGGGCGGGTGGTTTTGAAAAAATGGCTCTCGCCTTAGCGCCGCGTGCATTCGTTTTTTAAATTGCAAGAGCTTCACGGGTTGAGGGCGGTTCCTTTTCAACACGTGGCTCTCGCTTGAGCGCGGCGCACATTCGTTCTAAACAAGTAAGAGCTTCACGGATTGAGGGCGGGTGGTTTTCAACATGTGGCTCTCGCCTCAGCGCGGCGCACATTCGTTTTAAAAGTTTGCCAGAGTCTAGCAGATTATCATCAACAATGTGTCATACATGGTGATTTGAAAGGATTCAGAATGATGCGGGTGCAACAGTCATGTTGGTTCGCTGTGTTGGAGTCCCAAAAACGGTGTTCTGGCACGACTCAGGATTGTCAAGACGCAACAATCAGGTTGATCCGTTGCGTTGGAATCCCACGAACAATGTTTTGGCATACTTCGGGGTCTTCAAACGGTTGTCTTCCAAAGAGGCAGTTCCTTCAATGGAAATGAACCGTTGTAGGGGCCTATGGAGAGGGAGCTTGAAGGGAAGGTTTATTCCAACATCGTTGATGACTCTTGGGTGTACACTGGTCCTCCTCCTCCTCCTCCTCCTCCTCCTCCTCCTGCTCATCCTCCTCTTCCTCCTCCTTTCCCTCCTCATGTTCCTCCTGTTCCTCCTGCTCATCATCCTCCTCTTCCTCCTCCTCCTCCTCCTCCTCCTCCTCCTCCTCCTCATCCCCCTCGTCCTCGCCCTCCTCGTCCTCCTCACCCTCCCCCTCCTCCCTCCTCCTCCTCCTTCCCCCACCCCTCCTTCTCCTCCTCCTCCTCCTCCGCCTCCTCCTCCTCCTCTCCTCTTCTCCTCCTCCGCCTCCTCCTCCTCCCTCCTCCTCCTCCTCCTCCTCCTCCTCCTCCACCTCCTCCTCCTCCTCCGCCCTCCTCCTCCTCCTCCTCCTCCTCACTCCTCCTCCTCACCTCCTCCCCTCCACTCCTCCTCCTCCTCCTCCTCCTCCTCCTCCTCCTCCTCCTCCCCCCCTCCCCACCCCCCTCCTCCTACCCTCCTCCTCCTCCTCCTCCTCCTCCTCCTCCTCCTCCTCCTCCTCCTCCCCTCCTCCTCCTCCTCCTCCTCCTCCCTCCTCCTCCTCCTCCTCCTCCTCCTCCTCCCCCCTCCTCCTCCTCCTCCTCCCCCCTCCTCCTCCTCCTCCTCCCCTCCTCCTCCTCCTCCTCCTCCTCCTCCTCCTCCCTCCTCCTCCACCCTCCTCCTCCTCCTCCTCCTCCTCGCCTCCTCCTCCTCCTCCTCCTCCTCCTCCTCCTCCTATTCATCCCCGCCAATTTCCCACAAGTGGGCCCGGAAGGTTTTCGCATCGATAGAAGGAACACATGGTCCGACACTTTCTCAAGTCTCTGGCCACAACGTTCGGCTACATGGGCGACTCCAAGGAGCAGGGGGCGGCGGAAATTCGCCACAGGCGTCTTCGGAATAAACTAGGAACCCAAAATAACATACACACAATTTGTCGGATGTCCGCGCGGCTTTGTTTTGGATCGACGCTGGACCCCCCTCCCTGGCGCCAGGGGGCGCCGGAGGCGCAGCCAGAGGGGTCCAGCGCCGATCTGAGAAATCCGCATTGCTTGTTCCCCGATTGCTCGGCGATAGGCCCTCGATTGCGAATCCGCGCCGTCCTGGGCAGGGGTGGCTATCGGGCCCCTATCGATTGCGGGTCGATGCATGCCCCGCTGAGCCTATCCCCCTGTGTCGGCGCCCCTGATCCGAATGGTTTTCGGGATGTAGCTCGGGCCTCCAGCGGCCGTTCGGGATGATCCAGACACCCGGGGAACGCTCTCGGCGAGGCGCAGCTGCCAGGGAGCATCCCGCGGCGGGAAAACCGCCGAGACCGAACAAAAAAAACAAAGGAAACAACCGACCTCGAGCCCGAAAAACAATGAGAAACCTACGACCCGATCGTTGCCCTTGAGTGACCGCGCGAATCTCTCCCTCTGCCTCCGCCGCCGGCCACGGCCAGCAGGAGGCGCGGCACGGGCGCCGATGCGCGGGCGTTCCTCGAAGGCGTCTGCGGCGCGCCGCACGCTCCAACGGTGGACTTCCTCGTCGGTCTCCTGTCGGGGAGGAGGAGGAGAAGGAGGAGGAGGAGGAGGAAGATGAGGAGGGGGAGGGGGAGGAGGGAAAGGAGGAGGATGAGGAGGAGGAGAGGAGAAGGAGGAGGAGGAGGAGGAAGATGAGGAGGGGGAGGGCGAGGAGGAGGAAAGGAGGAGAGGAGGAGGAGGAGGAGGGAGGAGGAGGAGGAAGAGGAGGGGGAGGAGGATGAGGGTGAGGAGGAGGGGGAGGGCGAGGAGGAGGGGAGGAGGAGGAGGAGGAGGAGGCGGAGGAGGAGGAGGAGGAGGAGGAGGGGAGCAGGAGGAGGCCCTCGTCCCTGCTTCGCTTCGGCTTTGTCCCGCTCCTGGCTTCGCCCTGTCCCTCCCTCCCCAGGTTCGTCCCCAGTAGCCTTGGGCCGGACGCCCCCGCGAGCGCCCTTGCGCGCCACTCCGCTGCGCCTGCGTCTTAGACTTGGCAGGCCCCCCTAGCGCGCTCTAGGCGTCCACCAGAGGACCTCGACCGCTTGCGAGCGGCCCCGACTGCACCTCCAGTACGACCCGCGGAGGCAAAGGAGGAGGAGGAGGGGGAGGATGAGGATGAGGAGGAGGAGGAGGAGGAGGAGGAGGAGGAGGAGGAGGAGGAGGAGGATTAGGAGGAGGAGGAGAGATGAGGAGGACGACGAGGAGGAGGAGGAGGACACTGAGGAGGAGGAGGAGAAGGAGGAAGGGGGGACGAGGACGAGAACGAGGGGGGGGGAGAGGAGGATTAGAAGGAGGAGGATTTTTGTTCACTGTGTGCGAACGCCAAGCCAAACTCTGCAGGCAGGTTAAGACTGGGCGGCTGAAAATGGCGGGGAGCACGGGCCCCTACTTACCTTTGAAGTTCTTGACGCGACGAGAGGCATGAAAATGAAGAAGTGCATGCAGCCGACTACGACGCAAAGCGGCGACGCCCCAGAAGAACCAGAGGTCGCCGCCGAAGGTGAAGCCAGAGAAGAAAACCATCATTATTAGATTAGGAGGAGGAGGAGGAGGAGGAGGAGGAGGAGGAGGAGGAGGAGGAGGAGGAGGAGGAGGGCGGAGGACGCGGAGGAGGACCACTGAAGGGCGGAGGGTGTGGGAGGAGGAGGAAGGGGGAGGGAGAGGGGGAGGGGAGGGGGAGGGGGAGGGAGGCGGAGGAGGAGAGGAGGAGGAGGAGGAGGAGGAGGAGGAGGAGGAGAGAGGAACAAGGAGGAGGAAAAAGGAGGAGGACGAAGAGGAGGAGGAGGAGGCGGAGGAGGAGGAGGAGGAGGAGGAGGGCGAGGGCAAGGACGAGGGAGGAGGAGGAGGAGGAGGAGGAGGAGGAGGAGGAGGAGGAGGAGAAGGAGGAGGAGGAGGAGGAGGAGGAGGAGGAAGAGAGAAGGAAGAGGACGAGGAGGAAAAGGAGGAGAGGGAAAGTGAAGAGGAGGAGGGAAAGGAGGCTTGCGGCTTGCGGCTGCCGAGGCGCAGGTCTGTGACTAGCGCCGAGCAGTGAAGAGGCCAGGTGAGGGGCCTGGCGAAGGGGGGCACTACGCGCCCCGAAGACTGGCCTCCAGCGGTGCGAGGGTCACTAACGGCGCAACGCCGGGCAGTCCCCACTCGCACCGCATCAGGAGGCCAACTCTGATTTAATCAGAGTCCGAAGCAGGCACAGGCTGAGCCTGCGTCAAAATTGTGCTCGCAGCCGTGGGAGGGCAAGGACGTGGTGCACGACGGGACGACGTCTCGACACGACCACCACAGTGTCCTTGCCCCATACCATCATGTTTGGCCGAACACGCAGAGCTAGCCCTAGGTCCAGTGGCCTCGGAGGACGGGAAACGAACGGCCCCAGGCACCGAACCAGAAACAAGGGCGCCATCCCACGGACCCAAAACTTCGCCCGTCTTGGGGTGACAACCTACCTCTGCGTGTCGCCAGTACATTCTGTGATTCTGAATCGTGCTGGCTACCTTGGCCTCCCCTTCGCACTGTCTACTGAGCTTGCGGCACTTGCCGTCGGGGAGGATCCAGTATCCAGCACACCTCTGACATATGGTCACCCTACCGTGGCGGGCAGGCCTGTGACCCAGCGCGGCAATGGCATTCAACCCAGCCTCCAACGCGGCGTCGGTCAGGGAGGGGGAGGAGGGGTCCTGGCCCAGCGAGGGAGGAACAGGATCTGACACCGCGGGGCTGCTCGCAGTGTGAAGGCGTGCCAGGGGTTCGGCAGCGAAAATGATGTCGGCGCGGCAGCGCTCTAGCTCGCTGCCCTTGCACCTCCTAGCGGCCCCGCTGCACATAACCCGCAGTGTGGCTTCGCTCCTGGCAGACATATTGCACCTCCTGCAACGCCACTCCGCACGCTTCGGCAGTCGGTAAATCTCGTGCTCTATGAGCGTCAAATTGATTCGCTCAGCATACTGGCACACTGGAATCGTTGGGGGCTCAAACGTCTTAGAGTACTCCCCAATGATCTGGACCGCGCGCGCCAAGAAACCCCAGGTGGCTTTGCAGGCCTTCAAATGGGCCTTCTCCGCGTCGTGACAAACCTGCGCATACTGATGGTCCTGGGCTCCAAGGCGCGCGAAAAAGTCGGCCCAAGCGTTACCCAAGTAACTGGTGATCTGTCCTTGCTCCAGTGACATGACCTCATCCATGTCTCTGTGTGCAGGGACCCAAACGAACTCGGGCGGAGGCCTATGTTGCTCGAAGAGCTGGAAGATGCGACGCCACACATCAGCGTGTCGTGACAAACCGCAGGCCAGCTGGGGACTCCAGCTCTGGCCTTCCTGCACAAAGGCTAAGTGATCACTATATATTGTGGTCGCCTGGGGGGCTACCGAAAGAGCCATCAAACCCGCGTACCGCTCCGCACGGGGCACCGACTGGCGCCCAGGGAGCGGCCCAAACACCGCCCTCAAGGGCAGCCCAGAGTCCGACAACTCCACCGCGGCCCATCCACACCTACGCAGTTCAGGGCTCGCGTTCGCGAGCCCCGAGCCGTCAGTGTAGATCCGCCGCCCCCAGGGAAGATGCGTAGCCCCCCAGTGGAACACAGGGCACTGCGTGGGTAGGGGGGCTATCTTGATGGGATGGTAAGGCAACCCGTACAGCTCAAGAGAGTCCCACTCTGGGTCGCCAAGCCCATTGTCCCCAAGACCCCGCAGATACTCCCTGCGCTCCAAGACCTCTTCAGAAAGGGATTCAACAGCCAGCTCCTCAGGTGGGTGAAGCACCCCTTCACAATTATACAACTGGTGCCCTAGAGTGCCAGCCTCAGAACTCACACACATCTCGCACTGGTGGCTGTCCGAGATCCCTAGGGCCTTCTTCCTTGCTGGGGGCCACAGTGCGGAACCAAGCAATCTGCGGGCGCAGCCTCTATGTATCGGATTCTTCAAGCTGAGAATTGAGCTGCGAAGTGCACGCCTCCAGACTCCATGGGGATTCCCAACTATAGGCTGCATGTGGCTAACAATACGCAACATCTGCCATCGTCCAATGCTCTGTCGCAGTAACAGCTTCACATCCCACGGCGTAGTGGTAAGAAGGTTCACGAGGTTGCCCTGGTCGTCGTATAGCATATGTGCCGCCGCCATCTTCCAGTCCACCCTGTGCAGGCTGAGCGACACCGCTGAGAGAGGGCCATTGCATCTGGCCCACGTGTATTCACCATTCCAAGCTTCCATCATGGCAGTCCACGCCCGTTGTAGCTGACTGAGGGGTACCAGTCCATCCCACACTGTGATAGCATATCTACATACTAGGTCTGTCGTGACGTCGAATATCGGGTCAAACCATTCATCACTCTGTGTGGCAAGCCAGGCCGTAAGGCTGGCGTGTGACTTGGCTCCCACCAAAGAGCCAGCCAGTGTGCGTAGCTTTGCCAGCGTCGCAGGGACGACCCCGCTAGCTCCAGCTCCATGCGCAGCAGCGGGCAGCAGGCCCGTGCGCCACAGCGTATGAGCTTGAGCTCGTCCCCGTTGCAGCGCAGCCAACTTGCCCCTCCTGGCCAGAACGCCCATGACACGCTTTCTCTCTTGTATACGTCTTAGTCGCACCCCCGCGAGCTCGTGTCCTAGATTGCGCATGTGTTTGTGGCAGCGAAACCGAATGAATCCCGCAAGCTTCTTCGCCACCCGTGTCGCCTCCGTAGTGCCACCCACGCATCCACTTTTGTCTACCTGAATGATGAGACCCAGCGGCTGCACTTGGCGAATGAACCATCGTACTGCATGAAATAGGACAACCGCCTGAGAGGGTTCTGCACCTATCCATTGAAAGCTGACGTCGTCCATCAACGCTCGTGGCACCACCTCCACATACTTCCTGCGTAGGGCCTCCAAGGACTGGCAGAGAAGCAGGTGGACCATGGCGCAGGCGTGAGAGCATCCCGCTAGTATGCCCTGCGCGGAGGTGAACTTGGTGGACAGTGACCCGTAAGCTCGCACCTGCCGTGGTGCCTGGTATGTGTGAATCAACATCCAGAGTAATCTCATCGGAAATTGCATCTGACTGGCTCTGTCCAGCAGCGCGGTATGTCGTATCGTCTCGAAACACTTGTACATGTCAATGAGTGCACTGACCGTATGCATGCCATTGAGCTTCGCCGTCTCTGCAGCTATGTTGTGTTGAAACGCAGCGTCGGTAGAAGTCGCCCCAGGCCTCGTGCCCCAAAAGGCAGTTGAAGGGTTGGCGAGCTCCCATCTCTTAGATATCCTTCGTCGTAATCGGCTCCAAATACGGACCACAGTATTGATGAGTGCGATGAGGCGGTGGCCCCCCGTGGGCTTGGGGAGTCTCACTAGCACCGTGGTGACCCTCTGCACGGGCCAGCACGCCAACCTCTCGCATTTGTGAAAGAGAGAAGCAAGGACTCCCAATCCAATGTCCGATACTTGGGTCAGTGCACGGGGTTGCATCGATACCTGCCCAAGCGCCGTAGTGGCTTTGAATCGTCTGAGTATGTTACGAATGTCATCGATTGTGATCTCAGGTAAGTCCTCCCAATCTGCATGTCCTGC